AGCATGCGCAGTAAGATTAGCAGGGCCCTGGTGTCAAGGGCGAGCATACCTGTGGTTGTCATGCCAATGACTGTTGCCGTTTTCAGAATAGACAGGTCCTCAAGGCTCTTGATTTCTTTCAGCCTTTGGGCGCCTTCTTCAAAGTCTTTTTGGTACCTGAGAAAAACATATGGTAGTTCATTATTCTCGAACCTTCGTGCGCGCGCAAAATTGAGCCTTAACACAGGAACCCCAACAAGGCTAATCAGGTCTGAAATATTCAAAATTCAGCATTWCATTACATATGTGAAAACCAAGGTCTAGTTACGAACAAATTCAATGTAAGGTCGGTTAAGGGACTTTAGGAATACATGAGCAGCTCTTATATGCTGATAAACATATTTATACGACTGATACTTTAGCAAATAACGAGTTTACTGACTAACTGGGTTCCCTGTGTAAATCAATCCATTCACTAACCTTTSTACAGTGTATCTATACCCTGTGCACATCTGATCGACCCAGTATCTATACAGACGCCATTTATCTCTGTTGRTTAGCGCGTAGACATCTCTAACTCTAGCAACTTCTTCGGGTCTCATCATGTCACTCAGGCTAAGCTCTCGTTTGATCCTTTGTTTTATTCGTTTCTTCTGAAGTCGAGGATTCTGGACCTGCCATTGTCCCGGATGTGACGTTGCCATTGTTTCCGAGTCGAAAGGATCCGCCAAGATAAGGGTGTGACCTCTCCCTTTGTTGCCAAAGCGTTCAACTTGATCAACATCTAGAATCCGCAGTCCTTCCATGGCTCCTGCTTCGTACAGGACGTCTTTGTCTTCTTCCTCTGCKGCTTCCTCTTCAACTTCTTCTTCTTCAAGGTCTGTGGCAAAACAAACGTAGAACGCAAACAATATAGACTCCTACAATGTCACTATGAAACCAAATGCTATTAATTATACGTGGTCTTAAATGAGAAAATTATACATCCAAGGTAGAGTTCTATTCAAATCTAAGTATAAAACTTACCATCCTCTCGAATACCAGCGATATTCATAATCTGTTCTTTTCCAATGGCTTCTGGGTAAAACTGAAGAGAACTGACTCTTCCCTCRAAGAACGAGTTGTGATTGGCCAGGTTTAAGGATCCAATATAAAYCGGCAGATGAGAAGCAATCTCCATSGTYTCATTCTGTTGTTCTTGGACCATTTTCCCGTTATGCCACAGACGTGAAAACCCTGACAGATTGTCGTACGATGCAGCAATGTAGTTCCATTCGTTTAGTTTCAAAACTGCTTTTGATAAAGGATTTGGAGTGGCACCGTCTTCACGCCTAGACGAGAAAGGAATTGAATAGAAAGTAAACGGATTAAATCTGAAAAATCTTTGCTTTGGACTTCACCACCGTTCTGAATTACTGCCGTTTTTTCTCTTTGCTTAGATAGTTTTTTTCAACCGGGTTTGTGAATGAACGAAAGAAGAAAAATACAAAAATGAGCGAACCTACAAACGAAAAGCAAACTATCGAAGAAACGAATGAATGAAACAACTATAACAACAGCTAGACTAATGACTAAGCAAACAACAAATAAATAAGTAAACAAACTAACGGACGAAAGAAAAGATCGACAGACAACAAAAGAGCAAAGAAATGAATATCGGTTGTAACGCAACATCTTTTTCGAAATGGTACAGGAAGGACGGAAGCAAGCTATTGCGTGACATTTCTCCGTGACATACCTGTTAAATGAAGCAGACAGCACMCCTTTACCATTCTGATCAACCCCATCTTGACTTATTTGAATACCAATAAATCCTTGATCATGRAAGGTCACAATCGGTCCCCCATTGGGACTCATTGGAAACACATACATTACAATTGTCATCGATTGCCGCGTGTCCAGAAGACAGTTTTCCATATTAGGAATGATGATGTAAGAGTCACGTGCTCCTTGAAKCTCGTAAGAGCCTCCTGGTCTGCCATCTAATCCTTGGGCTTGTTGGACGTTCTTTGATATGGCTTTGTGGGCTTGGTTCAAGACGTTTACTTTCTTGGTTTGATTATTGAATGGGAACACAGCAATCGGCTGGACAAGTGCACCTTTGGCATAAGAACAGTAATAATAATAATTATAAACTGAGTTTTTAGTAACGTGAATCTTCATTCCAAGCTAAAGTTTTCCTTAAATGGGGTGTAATTTTATCCCATTTCAGACCACGTATCATTCCCTAGAGTATCATTTCTTTGTTTAACTGTTGCACATGAGTAGACAAACGAACTGAAAACAACTCAAACAAAGAATCTTATTCTCAGGAGAATGACACGAGGTCTGAAATGGGACAACATTAAATCCAAGGTAAAGTGACATATCTTACTYGTTTCAAAGGCGTCCGACGTGTTCAATGTGAGTCCAAGCCAATGACACATGACCGACTTAACGGTAATCATTCCCGTAATACGATCTCTGACAGGCCTGACCATGGAATCGTACTGTTCGTCTGTCATGTGACCCTCGTTGCGTATTTGCTGTTCATGGACGACGTTTTCCATACATTTTTGAAGGTTTTCTGTTGCGCTTTTCATTTGCTGTGAGACGTGCTCGAGCTGTTGATGAACCTCGAAGAACGCTCGACGAATCTCTCTTGGAGCTGGAAATGGCAAAATGAAATATGGAAGTTTAAGTAACAAGAACTCGAATGGAAATATGGGAAGCGCGGTTGCCGTGCACAGCGCATGCGCCGCCTCTTACCAAATGCGACCCGCGGGTTCGAATCCCGGACTCGGTTTCGTATGCGAGTTTGTTGGTTCTCTCCTGTGCTTGAAAGGTTTTTCTTCATTTTTCCTTTCTCCTCAAAAATCAACTTTTGATTTTATTTCGATGTTGAGCTTTCGCCTAGTTTGGAGCCTAACTCTGTTGTGATTGTCCCACGCTGTGATACAACAGCCAAAGCTTAATGCATTCTTTTAAATAGTAACTTTATTTCAAAGAGGTTATCTTGGAAACTGCAGAAAAATAACAGCTGTTCTACACCCGCCACCTTGGCAATCCTCAAAAGACTTCATATCTAACCTTGTTTATCTTTATGCATCTTATGCTTGAGCTCACCGAGGCTACACGCTTGCATCTTCTCGCTCTGGCTTCGTCCACCAACCCGCACAATTCCCTCGGGATGAAACTCGTGGATTCCCTCCAGAAACTGGTCTAAAGCATGATTGGTGTAGCAGACCACGAGGATTGGACGAGATGAGAGTACACCACCACGTGCCTCCTCGTCATCATCATGGGGGAAACGCCTCTCACTTCCTCGGTTCCATACATGCTTATTGTGCAGCAAAACCCTGACTACCTAGTTAAGTAAGAATGTGTGGGAATCTTTTTAGTTCTTGATTTATAATAATAAATAATAATAATAATAATGATAATGATGATAATGATGATGATGATGATGATGATAATAATAATAACAATAATAATAATAATAATAATAATAACATAGATTTATATAGCGCCTTAATCCTTTAAGTCCAAAGGCGCTGTTTACAATAATCAAAATATAAAAAAGGAAATGAAAAAATATATATGTACATATAAATTAAAAGAAATGCAGTATAGTTTAGCACACGTGTAGCCTTGTGCTTAATACTTTGTGCATGAAAAGCGAAGCATATCCCTAACGTAGGCGACGTATTGCAGTTTACATTAACATGATGGTCTGTAA